GCCCCGGGGAAGGGGGACGGCTCGGGGGGGCCCCCAAAAAAGGGGGGGGGGGGGGAGCAACCCCAGCACCCCAAAAATGGGGAGGAGAGATCAGAGGAATGCCCCCAGCACCCCAGAAACTGAAGGGGGAGCAGGGCAGCACCCCAAAAAAAGGGCAGGGATCAGGATAGTGCCCCCAGCACCCCAAAAATGGGCAGGAGGATCAGGGGAGCACCCCAAAAATGGGGGTGGAGGAGCAGGGGAGCGCCCCCAACACCCGAAAAACGGGCAGGGGGATTGGGGAGCACCCCAAAAATGGGGTGGGAAGGAGGGGGAGGGGTCAGTGTTGGGATGAGGGGAGCGGATTTTGGGGGGGCTCAGTGAGTTTTGGGGGGGCTCAGTGAGTTTTGGGGGGGGGTCAGACCTGGCCACGCCGCTGGGGCTGGGCTGATGCTCCGTCAGGTTCCTCCACTGGGCCACCACCTCGGGCTGGGGGGACACGGGGGGGGTCATGGGGGGGTCACCCAGAGCCCCCCCCAAAGACGGGGGGAGTCACCCAGAGCCCCCCAAAACCCCTCCCCAATCCACGGTGTGTCCCCTCTCCCCTCACCGGCAGCTCCTCGATGCCGTCCAGGAAGATTCCAGCGATGTCCTCCTTCAGCCAATGGCTCATGGCAGCCTGGGGGGGGCACGGGGGGGGTCAGGGGGGCTCCCCCAGCCCCCCACTCCCACCCCACGGCCCCCCCAGACCCACCTGGACCTGCTGGTGCACCTCGGGGTCGTTGGCCGCGGCCCCCCAGACTCGATCATCGGCGGGGTTCGGGGTCAGGTCCACGATCACCTTCAGTGCTGGGGGGGGGGGAAATGGGGGGGTCAGGGCACCCCCAAACCCCCCCAGCATCACAGGACTCCCCCCCATAAACCCCCCACCATTACTGGGGATCCCCCTCCAAACACCCAACCCCGGGAACCCCCAAATTCAGCCCCCACCCCACCACATTCCCAACCCTTTAACCCCCCCCCCCATCCAATTTTGGGGGTGTCCCCCTCACTTTTGTGCCCCCCCACATTAAATTCCACGCTCCCCCTCCCCCAAATTTAGGCTCTCACCCCACTCTGCCTCCCCCCATCCATCCTTTCCCCCCCCATTTTGGGGTTCCTCTCCCCTG